GGAGGGGGGGGGGGGGGGGGGGGGGGTTTGGGGGGGGGGGGGGGGGGGGGGGGGGGGGGGGGGGGGGTGAGGCGGGAACAGCCCACCGACACCTTCAGGGTCTCCTCTGTCTGGTTAGGATGCCAAAAAGGATGATGCTGTTCGGAAGGCCTACAAGTATCTAGCTGCCTTACATGAGGTGAGGGGGGAAGCGTGCCTGGGGGCTGGCTGGGGTGGGGCCAAGTTGGGGTGCAAGCCTTCTGCTCCTGCTGTCCCCAGAACTGCAGCCAGCTCATCCAGACCATCGAGGACACGGGCACAATCATGCGGGAGGTTCGAGACCTTGAGGAGCAGGTGAGGCCTGGGGCTAGGAGGGCTAACCAAGGCAGGCCTGGGGACAGCTCCTCGGTTTATGCCAAGAGAGGCTGTGGAACCAGACACAGCCCTGCCCCTTAGGCGCCATGTGTGTGACCTGGAACAGCCCAGTGGCCTGCTCTGACCCCCTCCTTCCCCCTGAAGGTCCTCATGCCTGCCTCCCAGGGCCGTTGGCAGAGGCTTCAGCTCGAGTATGTGGTGGGCGATCCTGCCACATAGCAAAGGATGCTTTAGGTGGACGGATGACATGTGCAAAGGCCTGGCGGTGGGACAGAGCAGGCTGCTATTGGAGGGGGTAGAAGGAGCATGGGAGGGGCCCTGGGTGGCTGTGATGGGGTGGGGCTGGTGAGCAGGAGCTGGGAAAGCGGCCCTGCACGCTGAAGGGCTGCGGTTCGCATTGCCTTAGATTGAGACGGAGATGGGCAAGAAGACCCTCAGCAACCTGGAGAAGATCCGTGAGGACTACCGAGCCCTTCGCCAGGAGAACGCTGGCCTCCTGGGCCGGGTCCGTGAGGCCTGAGCAGCCCCCAGCAGAGGTCTCCCCCAGGCCTCAGGCAGGGATTTGGGGTGCTGGGGGCACTGGCCAAGCACTGGCCCGGGCCATGCCCTCTGCTTGTGGTCCAGTTCCTCCTGCTGTAGTGTTGGCCCCAGACCCTTGCCCACCTGACCCCAACCCTTATCTGGGGCGACCGTCCAGAGTGTGGAAGCTCAGCTGCAGTTTATTGCGGAGGGCGCTGGGGGTTGGGGCCTTGGATCTCAAATAAATGAGGGGCTCTGTCTGCAGTCTAAGCTGAGGCATGGATGGGGGCACAGGGCACAGGGCTCAGGATGGGGGAGGGGGCGGGTGGCAGGTGAGACACTGGGTACATTTAGTGAGTCGGTGTGCATGGCCCTGGGTGTCTGCGTGGGACTCAGGACGCCCACTGGGGTGCTTTGTGGGTGCGCATGTGTGAGACATGCAGGTGAGTTCAGAGAGTCTGTGCGACCGAGCGTCTGTGTCGGGAGCTGTGTGATACCGTGTGTGACCAGCATGTGTCTGTGTGGCTTTCTGGGACCTGAGATCCTGAAGGTACCGAGGCTGCTTCTGTGCGGGTGTCTGGGCATGCCCTGTGTGACACTGCACCTGTGGGCCTGGAAGCTGGCTACGGGTGTGTGCTTTGGGGCATGTGGGTTGACAGGACTGTGCTCGGGTGTGACTGTGTGACTGCGGATTTGAGGTGGTGTGAGTGTACTGAGGCAGGCTCTTCGTGTTTTAGGGTTTGTATTGAGTCCAAGGGACAGGATTGCGACTCTCTGTGTCCTTTCCAGCCCTAAGGTCATCTGTGAGAGCGACTGAGGCAGGCTGTGTGTGTGGTCGGTTGTGAAGGCTCAGTTTGGCTGGAGAGCTGGTCGCAGGGGGCTGGGGTGGGGGTGTGGGGTTGGGGCCGAGGTCCCTCTGAGCAGCCTTGGTGCAGAGCATGTGATCCAGGAGGGTGGTCAGCTGGGGGAGCAGGGTCCCTGGCCAGCAAGATGGTGCACACCTTACTTCTTGGTCCCTGCAGGCACGTTCAGGGCCGGTCACCCCTGCCTCCAGCCACTTCTACTCCCCCGTTTTGGCCCCTGTCCTTCCTTCTTTCCTTGGCTTTGAGGTCAGGAGCCGGGTGTGGGGTTGGAACACCTGCTGGGCCTCTGGCTCCTCTTCTTGCGGAACTCAAACTCATCCACGGTCCACACGGCCCCCTTCTCACTCTCCACGCGCACGAAGCACTTATGCAGGCTCAGGTTGTGGCGGATGGCGTTCTGTGGAAGGAGGACCAGCCAGCCGGGCCGGGGACGTTGGCGAGGGGAGCAGGCAGGCAGTCATCCCCTGAGGCCAGCAGTCCCCACCAAAAATTGACCTCCTGTCCTTTCTCAACATGCCTACAAGCCCAGTCCCAGGCCCACCCATTCCTGAACTTGACCCAGCGCCGCAGTGGCATTTGAGGCCCTCCCAGCCACTGCCACCTCCGGAGGTGCTCACCTTCCAGGTGGCAGGGTGGTTTCTGAAGAAGGCGAACATGCGTGTGAACCAGTGATAGATCTCGTTGAGTGTCCGCTGCTTCTCGGGAGCCTCCAGGATGGCCTGGAGGTTAGGGGGTGTGGGGGTAAGGGGAGCTGCTCCCCCAAATTCGGACTGAGAGGGGCACTGGCCCACCTTGGGCCTTCTGACCTGGGTGGAACTGTGGGGACGGGGGAAGGAAGGGAGATGGTGTGGGGTGACGGGTCAGAGACAGGGTTAGAAGCGGGGTGAGGGTAGGGCTGGGATGGGGTTAGGTAGAGGATCAGGGCTGAGGTTGGAGTGGGGTCTGCTTCAGGGTTAGGGCTAGAGTTAAGTTAAATTTCTGGGGTAGAGTTGGAGTTGGAGTTCTCTGTGAGAGTGAGGTTTCAGGGTTTGGGAAGAGAGTGGGGTCCAGTTAAGGATTTGGAAGGGGTAAAGGACCAGGCAGAGTTAAAGGTCAGGGAAGTGGCTGGTTAAAGGTCAGGCGGGGGATGAACTGGGGTGAGTCGAGGGGCGAGGGGTGGGATGACACGTGACATTAGGTCAGGTGTCAGAGGTGGGCCTAGTTCCGTAGTTATTTTATGTGTCAGGGATATGGTTAGTTTCAGGGTCAAGAATGAGGTTGACTGTGTGTGGTCGTTAAGGGTCAGGGCTGGGATTAGGTGTGGAGTGAGGCTAAGGGTCCGGGAATTTGATCTGCTTGGATTTAGGAATGGAATTGCGTCAAGGGTCAGTGACCATGGCTGCGGTGAGGCTCCAGGTTGGGATGGGGCTAGGTAGGTGAACGGGGGGCATTGTGTAGGGTTAGGTGTGGGCCTAGGATAAAGGTCCGGGCGGGCTCTGGTGCAGCCTCTGGGAAGGCATTAGGGGGATGAGGATGAAGGGGTTGGGAGGGGTCAGGTGTCACAAGGAAGGGGTTAGGGATAGGGTCTAGGGGGGAATGTGTTGGCAGACTGGGGTACGTCTGGGCTGGTGAAGGAGTTAGGGTGTACCTGGGGCGGGTGTAGGGCAAGGGGAAGAATTCAGGCTAGTTTGGGGGCTATTTATAGGCCCAGGAGGCAGTTAGGTTTGGAGTTGATGTGGCCATCAGGAAGGGGGTGTGTTGAAGGCCAGCTTTTAGCTTGCACTGGCTTGGATGGCGGTTTAGTTGTGGGTTTGGGGGCAGGTCTGGGGTGAAGATGGGGGATCACATCTGAGGCGTGGGTTTGTTCAGGCAGGAGCCTGCCTGGGGGTGCTCAGAGAGAGGCAGGTCCTCCACCCCGCCCCCTCTTCCTTCTCCTCAGCCCGGCACTCTGCTTACCCAGCGGATGAGGGTGGCATAGGTGAAAGGGGGCCGCATGTTGTGGAACTTGAAGTAGTCCATGTTGTGGAAGAACTCTGTCCGAGGTACGGTGGGATCAGGCCCCGTCAGGGAACTCCTTGCTCCCTCTCCCACCCTCTGCTCTCGACCGACCGGCTGTCGAGTCTGCATGCCTGAAATCCCACCGTGAACACCGCTTTCCAGGATCACAGTCACTGTTCGTTAAGCACTTGACATAAATGATATCATTTCCCCTTTGCACCGCTCCCACCAAAATGGGGCTTATTCTCCCCAAGGTTTAAAAGAAATGAAGTAACTTCCACACGAAATGCATATAACTGGTTAAATGGCGGAGTCAGGATGGCACTCAAAGGCCCTAATCGCTGTTAAGCCCACAGCCCAGACCTTGCGGGTAGTAGGGGATTGGTGAGCTTGGGCGAGTCACCCTGCTTTTCCTTGGTGGGGAGAGGGAGAGTCCCTGGGAATTACTAAGCTAGCTCCCTCCCTTCTGATGACCAAATGGAATAGCTGAAGCGCAGAGTGAGTGAGCCCTAATCCCCAGGGGAGACAGGGCTAGGACTAGACATCTGAGACCACAGTGGGGGCTTGGAGGCCATGGAAATCCAGAGAGGAATCTTTTACGAGCAGTTGCCAGTTTCCAAAGGCTGGGTGGCAGTGGTGGGGAAGAGCAGTCCCCCGCTCAGTACCAGTCAGGGAGATGAGGGGCTCAGAGGGCACCACGTAGGGCACGTACCATCCTTACCTGGGATCGTGCTGTTTGCATGGCTGCCCCAGAGGTGCCTCCGCACAGCAAACAGGCCTTCAGGGGCCTCTTGGGGACCAGGCCAGGCTGGGACAGTGGTGCCCGGGGTGCCAGTGGCTACGATACAGCAGGAGCCCTTGTCGGATGATGCCTGGGGGAAGAGGGAGAGGCTGGTGACCCAAAGGCTTAAACTTGCCACTTTAGTTTTAAATAAGTGTTTTTAAAAGTAAGGGCACCCTCTTCTCAATTCCACTCTGATGTAGAATCCCACAAAGCAGCACGAGCCATATTTATTGAAGTGCGGGTGTGGACACTAGTGTGTGTAGCACACCAGTGCCAGGGCCACGAGCTAGGGTTGAATTGGGCTCCTCTGCTACCCAACTGTGACCTTGGGAAAGTCACCTAAGCCTCCCTGGCCTCAATTTTCCTTATCTGTGAATTGGGGATGATAGTAATACCTACCTCACCATGCATCATGGGGATTAAATAAGTTAACATCACCAAAGTGCTCACAAACAGTGCCTGACACCCAGGGCCAGCTTCTGTGTGATCTCTGAAGGTCCTGGGGCCCTGCACTTTGTTTAATGCTCTGCGGTCATCATTTTGAAATCTGAGCCCCGTGATTTCATTTTGCACTGGGCCCTGTGAGTTATATAGCTGGTCTTGCCAGCGGCACACAGTCTGCATTCAGTGTTTGGCGATTTGCTGTTGCTTTGCAAACTCAAGATCATGATTTGGGATCTTAAGGTCAGAGGGTTTGTAGGTAGAAAGGGACAGATTCCTAGGTCTGGGCATGTTTGGAGCTAGGGACAGGGACCCAGAGATCCCCGGGCCTGGGTGCAAGGATAGGTCCCCTGACCCCTGCAGGGCCTCTCCCCTGCTCCCCAGCAGTCTGTGCAACCTGTGGCCCTGGGGTGGCTCACCGTGGATGGGGCCTTGGTTGGGGCCATCTTCCCAGCCAGGTGGGCTTGCATAGCACCCAGCTTCTCCTTCTCCAGCACCAGCTGTGAGGACAGGCACAGAGTGAGGCCTCAACCTGATCTTTCTCCGCCACGTCTTTGTGTAGGCTGTGGTAGGCTGTGGTAGGGAGTGCCCTGCCCCCTTCCTCCTTCATGCCAGCCCCCATCCTGGGTGAGCTTGTCTCCTGGCACAGGGTGGACGTACGGTTCACCCACCGCCACCCTGCCCCCGCCCCCCCATGTCACCTGTTGCTCCAGAGACTGCACCACCTCCCTCTGGAGGAGACACTGCGCCCTGCCCTTCTCATCCAGGAGATGGTCTGCCTGGCAGTGCCTGGGTAGCGGAAAGAGTCCATGCGGGTGACCATGGCGAGCCTGGCTTCTCGGCTCAACATTCCTAGTGGGGAGGGCTCAGACCCTCTGGGAGGAAGGTCTCTCCTCAGAGCCTCAGCCTCCTTCCCCTCTTTCTACCTCAGTCTTCCTTTCACACCTGTCATTCCTTCAACATATGCTATTTGGCATCTACTGTATGGCCAGGGTGCTGGAGATGATGATGGAAGGGTAGTGAGCTGAGAGTGGGAAAGGCATTCCAGGTGGAGAGTACAGCTTGTGCGAAGGCCTGGTTGTGAAGAGGACGAGATGCACTGAATTGCCACTGATAATTGGGTATGGTTGGAAAAGTGTGTGTGTGTGTGTGTGTGTGTGTGTGTGTGTGTGAGAGAGAGAGAGAGAGAGAGAGAGAGAGAGAGAGAGAGAGAAAGAGAGAAAGAGAAAGAGAGAGATGGGGCTGAGAGGAGGCAGCAATAGCCATTGTGAGGATCTGGGACTTTGGGGGTCAATAAAATCAATAAAAGGCTGGTGTGTTGGCATGAGGGCGGGTAGCAGGGCAAAGCAGTTAGGAGTGTGGATTCCGGAGGCTGGCTGTTACTCAGGATCTGGGTGATCTTGATCAAGACACTTAACCTCTTTGGCTTCAGTTTCTTTGTCTATAAAATGGAGGTAAATCATAGCACACACCTCTGTTATGATGCCCCCATTATACAGATGAGGAAACCGAGGCTCCAAGAAACTAAGTAACTTGCCCAAGGTCACAGAGCCAGTGAGTGATGGAGCCAGGATCTGAACCCGCAGTCTCAGCTTTTGCATCTTTCATGTTACCCCTTATCGGGATGAGGCCTGAGCTGAGACCTGCACCCCAGACCTCCTCCCACAAACTGGGGCCCCCCTGGACCGAAACAGGCCTGACCCACTCACTTGAGGAAGTCCTCTGGCTCCTCGAAGACCTTCTCACATCCGGGCCACTTGCAGACACCATTTGCTAGCAGTGAGTAGGAGCCCTGGGGCATGGTTGAAAGGGTGCTGGGGGGACAAAGTGTGTCAGAGGAGGGGATGGCAGGGCAAGGGTCCTTCCCAGCCCTCACACTGACCTGTCCTTCCTGGGCACACCGGGGCTTGGGAAGGTGCAGAGCAGTGCTGGCTCCCTGGACACCCATTCCAGGCTGGCCACGTTGATCCCTGCAGGTGGGGACAGGGCACCTCTGGGGGTTGGGGGCCAGGCTCTGGAGCTCGGCCCACAAAGCCTCTCATTTTGAGCTTCCCACCCTCCTGAGCTTTGCAGGCCCAGACTCCCAGGGGGCTCTGTGGTCCCTAATCTCCAAGGCTACTGGTGGAGCAGCTCAAAGACTGCGCTGACATTTCGACTAACTTTGCAAAGATCTGTGGTTCCGTGATTTTGACATTCTGTGTCTTTAAGGTTCTGAGCCTGACATTTTTTAGAGGTTGGAGTTTCCAAGATGATAAGACCTGACACCTCTGGCCTCCTGAGGGCCGCAAGTCAGCAGCCCACACCACTTATGTTCAAGGATTGGGGGCTCTGGGCTTCTGTGGAGCTGTGGGGTACAGTGTTACCAGGTGGCAGGCCGGGCCGGGCCTTGAGGGAGAAGACCCCCGTAGCAGCAGTGGGTGGCGGGAGGCTGATCATAGCTGGGCTGTCCAGTGGGCGCACCTGCAGCACAGGGGTCCGGGCATGGGCATCCACCGTTGAGAGCTAGGGGCACATGGGGTCCATTTCAGCCAGGTCCTCTCCCCAGTTCTCCCGCCTGCTCCCTCCTCCCTGCCTGTTCTGGGTTGGTACCTGGTGCACAAAGTGTGGCCTGTCCTGGAGGAGTGCCTGCAAGTGGGGCGAGGGACCCAGCCGTGCTCCAGAGGGTGCCACCATGACGAGGGGCACTGTGGGCAGCTGGGGGAAGGCAGGCGGGTGAGATGCCATCCTCATGTTCACTGTTCTACACGTCTAACCTGTATACTCCTCACCACGACCCCACGTACTAGGCAGAATGACCAACCCCATTTTATACATGTGGAAACTGAGGCTCACGGAGATTGGGTGACTTTTTCAAGATCAAACAGCTAATAAGTGGCAGAGCTGGCCTCCATCCTGTCACCTCACCTCCCTGGGCCCCAAGCCCTCTGTCACAGGGGGATGGAGACACACATGGCTATGCCTGTGGGACCATGATAGGGTCTCCTATCCTGAGACAGGGATTGGGAGTTTGCGGAGAGCCTCGAATCTCTGAGACCTGCTAAGTGGGGACTTTCTTGGCCCTGTGACATCTGCATAAGTCACAGACGTGCCTGGGACCCAGAAAACCACTTCCTGTGCCCCAGCTGGGCCCCCCGCCCAGTGCCACAGTAAAGGTCGGCACCTATAGGCCCAGGTACCCCACCCTGCCTGCCCCATCCTGGGCCCTAGGCCTCACCTGCAGCTGCGATGGTGGCATGGGGTTCAAGGAGGAAGAGGAGGCGTGAGCCCCACCTCGCAGGTCCCGGCCCTGGAAGGTTGTCCCTGGGCCCTTGGCTCCCAGCTGGTCTGAGGCCTTGGGTGCAGCCCTCCAGCTGGGCAAGGCTCCTGGGGATGGGCTGAGTACCAAGGAAGGAGCCAAGGGCTTGGCTGGCCTGGGGTTGGGCATTGGGTCCTTGTCCGAGGGCAGGCTGCGGGGACACAAGGGGAAGGAGTTACAAATGTGCTGGGGTGTGTGTGAAATGCTCAACCATCTGAACCATGTGGACACCCTCTCTGGTCAGAGCAGGCATTGGCTGGGGTGTGTCCCAAAGGGGCCCCAGCTCTGGTCACATGTGTGCCCATGTGCACACACATACTCGGTGTCAGGAGCATGGGCGTGCCTGTGTCTCCAAGCACACGCCATGTGCAGACATACACGGACCCAGCGCACAGCGTGCCTGTACACGCTGGCACAGGCCCGGTGGGGAGGTGTCCTCCCTGAGGGTGGTGGGGAATTTGGGGTGGTTTGTGGGGCCTCAGCCAGGATAGGTCTCAGCACTTGAGTGGTGCTCTTCAAGCCTCAGCCCTCCTGTCCTCCCTGAACCCAGTACAGGCCACACAACCTTCGCTGATCCCACGGGGGCTGCTTTCTGATTTTCTCCTGGGAGCATTATGTTACCCCAGTGACGGGTATATCTGGGAGTGCAAGGGGGGCATGGACCCCAAAGATCCCTCTGGCTGCTGTGAGGGGGGGCAGACTCTAGGAAGGTGAGGGCAGAAGTAGGGGGACTAGTGAGGAGGCTACTGTAATAGTCCAGGCAAGCAACAGTCCAGACCAGGATGATGGCAGTGGAGATGGTGAGAAGTGGGGGGGTTCGGAGTTAATGTTTTGAAGGTGGAGTCAGGAGAATTTGCTGGCAGCTTGGATGCGTAGGGTGAGAGAGGGAGGGTCAAGGTGACTTCCGGGTATTAGCTGAGCAGCTGGAAGGACAGAGCTGACATGACCTGAGATGGGGGGGATGGGGGAGCAGGGTTGGGGGTGGCGATCCAGGTGTGGAGGGACGTGATGACTCTGGTGTTAGACATGCAAGTGGCAAGGCCATGTGGAAGCTGAGTACAGGAGTCTGGAGCTCTCCATCTGAGATCATCTCTGGGCTCCCGCCCTGCATGGAGCTGGCAGGGCAGGTGCCAGAGAGGAGGAGAGACAGGCTCTCTTGAGCCGGGGCCTGTGCGAGCTCCTCGACTCGGCTCCCACCGGAGTTCATCCCAATCTCTGCTCTTCAGGCCTGCCTCCAAGCCTTTGCTCATGCTATTCGACCTGCCTGGAATGCCCGCT